TAGTGGTAGTGGTAGTGGTAGTGGTAGTGGTAATATAAATACATGTTTCTAAATGATACATTTCCATGGTATAACAAACGACGACATTTCTGTTCTTGGTCTCTCAAACTCATCCACAACTAGGGGAAATAGTGTCGTAGTTAGGCACTTCGCTGTTGCATGCAGAATACGTTAGTTTGATCCCACATGAGAACATTGTTTTAAAATGAACTGTTCCGTCGGTGTAAAGGTGTACGTTATTCCATTCGGCCCGGGTGGACCCTGCTGGCCTATAAGGTCGCAGGAGACCACCTCTTGTTTGTTTGAAATTTTTGTTTTGTTATTACCGGGAGTATTTTTTTGGTACAGTACAAATATATCATGAGTGCCGAAGATTATAAGAGAATGGCATGCATAATAAGATAAGATAAGATAAAGATAAGATAAGATAAGAAAAAAAGACAGACAAAGACGATAGATGTTTGATAGAAAAAAGGAGCAGACTGCACCAGCGCACCCGCCAACTGCCATCTATTTGCTTTAGTAAAGAGAAACACTTCGACTCTATAAGGAACACTGGATCAGAGGGGAAGACGGGAATATAAGCAAAAAAACAACAGGGGTTATCAATCAAAGAAATAAGACGTACCAGTGGCGCCCTCCACACACCCGACATTCCATATAAATGCTCTAAATCGAATAAAACCATAATCATTTATTTTTAGAGAAACCTTTTGCCTACATCAAGGATTCAGGGTAACACAGAGAAATCAGGTTCTCTTTGAAATTTGGGCATATAGAGTTATTGGTGTTATCATAAAGCTTGTTCACTTTAAAAAATACCCATGCATTTTGAATAGAAGTCGGTATGTTTTGTGATAGAACTAGTTGAACTAGTTGGGGGTCAGAAGTAAAATTTGCGAGAAAATGGCCGCCAAATTCTGGGAAATTCGAAAGCTTGATAATTTTTGGATCAGTTGTGAGCAAAATCCATGCAGCAATGTGTATTTGTTTGGGCACAAAAAGTGCTGAGCTATCCCAAAAAACAACAGCAACAGCAATAACAGCAACAATAACAAAACACATTTTTAACAATCGATAGAAATTGCCAAAGGAGCGGAGAAATGTCGGCTTCTTCGGTCTCATCGTTTTAACGAGCGCCTGATTTTCAGCACGATGGCACATCGCTACCATAGAATCACAAAGTTCTATCTGCTCAGGACATACTTTTAAGAAGTTTGCCGTTAGTAATTTTGAGTTTTACAACCCGTCAAGATTTTTAAAATGCAATTCTTTGATGAATATCTCGATAACGACTCCGAATTATGATACGATTTTAATCGAGCAGGTAGAGCTTGTATTTTGATAAAGCCCACTTGGGACGCTCACTATTAAAAACAATCAGGAAAAGACACATTTTTTGGGGGACACCTGAATAGACCTGAATAAACATAAAGGTCTTGGACACCTAGCTGTCACTCGCAAAATTGAAGGCAAACGAGGCAGGGGTAGGCCGAGACCAACCTATGAAGAGAACCTAAACAGATGGATAACGGGGACACACCAGGGTAATGTAGCTTTTTAAGAGCATCCAAACAAAGGAATGAATGGAGGACCATGATCGCAGAACTGATGCCCACCGCTGATCTGGCACTTGATGACGATGATGATGATGAAATAGAGTATTTGGTTTTTGACATCATGGTCTTAGAAACTCAAAACGGCCTAAAAATGTCAGATAGAACTTTGTAATTGTAGGGTAGCGATAATAATGAGAAGCATGCCCACTGACCCAAAGGTACCGCCAGCACAGGCCGGCCTTGGTCGTCCACGAAGACGTCTGGCTCCACCTCGTACATGGGCGTCCCGTCAGTGAAGTAGCCCACCTACAGAGGGAACATGTTAGTTTTGTTTTAGTAGAGGTTTTACGGTGCTCGCAACTGAATAAGGTCATATAAGCGCCAGAAGACTAGAGGTGTTACAAGGGAGTAACAAACATAAAAAAGAAGGAGGGGAGATAAAGACTCACTCACTCACTCACTCAGTCACTCACTCAGTCACTCACTCAGTCAGTCACTCACTCACTCACTCACTCACTCACTCACTCACTCACTCACTCTCTCATTCATTCACCCTCTCACTCACTCACTCACTCACTCACTCACTCACTCAATCACTCACTCACTCACTCACTCACTCACTCACTCACTCACTCACTCAAATAAACACAGTCAACACTATCAGTACCAGGCCATTGAAGACTTTGACGGCCGCTGTGTCGACGGTCCGACCCCGGGTCTCTCTGCCGTCTCGTTCCACGTCGCTGCTGTAGCCAGGATCCTCTAGCACCAGACAAGAAACAGAGAGAGACTGTTGAATCATAAGAACGGAAACAGAAAGAGTCAAAGAGAGGGAGAGAGAGAAAAAAAGAGAAAGAGAGAGAGAGAGAGAGAGAGAGAAAGAGAGAGAGAAAGAGAG